AAATGCAGTTCATCACTTTTAAACTACTACAGTTAAGCAGAAGTCATGTCAAGTCTTTGGTGCAGTACTTAAAAATTAAGGCAAAATTCCCCCTAAAACATATTCCCCTCCAAACCATCATTTGCTTATATTTATAAAATAACCATTAGCAAAATGCTACTTTAAAAAAAAAAAAAAAAGCCAGTTGACTACCAATAATGTCAATACCAATGACTTGGATACTAAAATAATTCCATATTTCCAAGTATGTACAGACATTTTATAAACTGTTTAGTTTATTTCATCAAAACCAACAATTGATAAAAAATAGTTTATAAGAATTGTTTCTATAAGTGATGCTATTTATCAAAATAGTGATTTCTTTCTCATAGGTGCTTTAATTCTTTTGCTATTTATGATCAAGCTTTGAATTAAAGCTACTTTCTTTTTTACAAATGATTTCTCCTTAATGTCAAAGGAGTTCTGAGAGGATACAGTTAAAGGGATGGGTCTGCTGGGTCTTTCCATCTAGGATCGAATATGGCTTCATTCTTGTTAGAGATTATTGCAGTCTGCCCTGAAGTGGACTGTCGTCCCAGTTCACTACAACAAGAAGTGAGTGTAACCTTCTGCCCCAGTAACGATCACATCCATCCAGATCCGCATGGCTTCTGGAGATGGGGCCACCATATAATAGATTCTGTCATGTGTCTTGACACTAAAGGTGAGTAATGGATTAGGGCTCTAAAATTCAAAAAGGGAAAAGAATGTAAAACAAACATTTTGAAATTAGAACATTAAATAACACAGACATATGTGAAGACTTCTTTCTAAAATAGTTCCAACTTATAGAAATTTATGTAGGCATTACATTTGCTGTACTGTAACTTGCACCCCCACCCACTACACCTTTCTGGCCTTTCTGCATAATAAAGCTCACATGGAGCTCACCAATTCTCTCCGCAGCCAGTTCGTAAAGCTGTAGCAGGGTACCTAGCTGATAGTAGGTGCTTAATAAATAGAAGCTGTTATTCTTAGCTCTATTAAGATTCTTGCTTATGATCCCCCTCTTAACTATATGATGGTACTTCAAAAGTTCATGGAAAAATAAAATTGAAAGATAATACCAATGTTTCCATGAACTTTCTGAAGTAGTCTCAGATAGTAGCTCCTTTTTAGAACCTTTGCAGAGTCATTCTACCTCTCTCAAACCAATATGCCCAGAATATTTCTTCACTTTGCCATGACTTTTTTCCCTCAAAAAAATTAGCTGTCCTACTTCTATTTTTTCTTTTCCAGCAACATTCTGATTATATCTATTTATTATTCCAGAACAAGAAATCTAAATTGCTTAGAATCCAAAAATATCTTTTTCCCAACTTTATTATGCACTCAAATTACAGGAATTTAGAAAACTGATGTTTACCTTATTAGCATTCTTCAGGTGATCATAATACACTTCTTCAATGGCTTGAAAGTATATTATTCCTTTTAATTTAGTTTCATGCTTGTCTGCAAACATAGATGAGCGTTAAAATAAATACTTCATCACCACTGATGGACAGGAAAAACTGTAATTTTGTTATAATTATCATCATTAAAATATTTATCTAG